CACAGCAGAGGAAATAGGGAGGTAACTTTGATGTGAAGTTGGAGCTGGGCCAGGTGTCAAATATCTGGATGGGATGCATGTTTTCAGCATTATTGTGTGATTCTGGGAATGTTGCCCTATCTCTTTGAGACTCATCTTCCCCAGTTCTAAAATGGACACAGAGATTAAAGATAATGTGAAACTGTTTTGCAAAGTTCACTAATTTATTATAAAATTAGATGATAGTGAATAAGGGGGAGTTTGACAAGTTGAGAATAGCGAATGATGATTTACTTCTAAGAATATGATGAAATCCTTTACTGGCAACCATTCTCTTGTTAGTGCTAAACCTTAGCCCTATTATAAACCCAATACATCATCATCTGTCAAGAACATGAAAACCTAAAACAAACGAATGAATAAAAAAGACATTCTAACAATGAAATATCTCTAAATAGTAGCAGACAGAAGGATATCACATTCAGATTACTCTGTCAAGCTCATTTACTGATGGATATTTAAGAGCTCATAGCTTGTGGAAAGCCACTTGGAGTTCTCAGATGATGGAAACTTGTCAGGTGCCTTATGGGATGTGTTTCCACAATACATCTTCTTGGCAGATGCCCTCTCATCTTTCTAGCCATTCCCTCAACTGGAGAGCTCTGTGTCCACAGTGGGAGACAAGTGTACAGGCCTATTTTTTCCCCCAAGACTGATGTTGCATCTCTATAGCTGTACTTCTTTCCAGTGACATGAACTTTAGGAACAAAAGCAGTCACCGGTTATTATAGAGTTACTATTTAAAACTGTCAGTGCCTTAAGTCTACATTCTAAATTAAACATGAGAAGATTAAAAAGGAAATTTTTAATTAGAATTCTAAGTTCCAATTAAAACAAGAAGCGTTAGCTTTTCTAGAGAAAATAAATATTTGAACACTGCTGTCCTTGATAATTAATTTTACAGAATTTATTCTTTGTATGACCAACAAGTAGAAGTATAAACTATGCACATTGCCAATAAGTGTACAAGAGCTTCACTGGAGGCAGAAAATAAATGAGTATTAAACAAAATTTAAATGACTTAATGAAACACTTGATGGTGACCTACTTAAATGTCCAATTGAAACATGAGCACTACATTGATGCACTCATAATAAGTACACTTATGTACATATAATGGTTCATTTAGGGAAATCATTACAATGATAAATATCCAGAAATGCTACATAAACAATATCAGTCTATTAAAATTACTGTTACATTTTGGTACTTTTTGTAAACTCTGACAAGAGCACTTTGCTTAAAATAAATGAAAGAAAATCTTTCACCTTCTGGTAAGAAATTTGTAGAGACAGAATTTAAAATACAAATCACAGTCTTCTTATTGGATGAAGTATGTAATTTTCCTCCTTAGGTGTGGAGATTGAAAGCAACTGTCAAGCTTACTTAATTATGGGCCCTCAGAGACAAAATAGAAATGACAGATTTTCATTTTGATAGCAACCACATTGAGCATTTATTTAGCAAGTATGGGCAATTATTCCAGTTCTTATTTGAACATTTTCTCCTGAATTGGTTGCAATGTGTTAACGAAAGACTGTGATCTCAACACTCAGAATTTCAGGGTTCCTTTTACCTCCCCCGTTTTTCTTTGTGATGAGACTTTTCTCTGAATTTAAAGTGATTTTTTACCTACTGGTACAAAATTCATTTTTCAAAGGAAAAATGTATTAAAGTGTCCATGAAAAATATTGTTATATTTCAGAGTAGAGGTCTAAAAGCCGAGTCCTGGTCATCAACTCAAGGAGTCACTTTAATAGATACTGTTTCTTATTTTAATTTTTCAGTCCTGTTTCGTGAAGCACTAAATCATGGGCAGTGGTTTTTGGAGAAGACCATTCATTCTCTGTAGGGATGGGAAGGAGAAGCCCACATAGTGCTGATCTGTGATGATGGATTTCACAGCAAAGAATAAGGCAGAAAGCTGAACAGTTGGAAGCTATAGAAACAAAAACTTCTTTATTATAACACGACTATTTTGGAATTGTTTTCACTTCCTATGTCTTGTTTGAGCATCACAATAATTTAAGTAGGTAGGAGAGACATACTTATCACACACATACACACACACACGCACAAACACACTTTTTTTTGGCAGTATGAGATTTGAATCCAGGGCCTCAGGCATGCTTGGCAAGTACTCTACCACCAAGTTACATGTCTAGCCTTTTTAGAAAATTTTATTTCGTGACAAGTTCTCACCAAGTTGCCCAAGCTGGGCTTAAACTCATGATCCTTCTGCTTTAGCCTCTTGGCTGGGATTACAGATGTATGCCACCATACTCAGCCTTATTACTATTTTAACTGATGAAGAAACTGAGTCTTGGTGATGGAAAGTGCCTCTGTCAAAGCCAACACCTATAGCACAGAGGGCGCTAGAATCCAAGGCTCAGACTCAGCACAGGGCTCTCTTATAGGGAGGCAGAACAGCAGTTAGGAGCAACCAGAGAAAGAAAGGGTCATGAGGACCTGTTTTAGATAAAACACGGGTCAGACAGGTGATTTTGTGTTTCAGATAAACAGTAATTTTTAAAGTAGGTCTCCTGCTTTATTTTGAACATATACTAAAAGTATTGATCATTTATGTGAAATTCCAGTTTAATTGGGTATTCTAAGTTTTTACTTGTTGAATGTAACAACCCTAGCATGTTTTCCCCTCCATTTGGGCAACCCAGGTTAAAAAGCTGAAAATATCAATAACTTGTAGTATAACCTATAGGTTCTAATTTATTCCTCTTACAAAAGATGTTGGCATTTTAACCCTTATTATCTTAGAATGTGTTCTCATTTGAAAGTAACATCTTTACAGAGGTGATCAAGATAGAATGAGGTCAATAAAGCAGACCCAGTCTAATATTATTGGTGTGTTTATAAATAAAGGCCATTTAGACAGTAGTTAAACATGTGCAGAGGAAAGAAGTTGTGAAAACACCCTGGAAGATGATGGGCCATCTGATCAGGGTAATGCATTTATAAGCCAATAATCACCAAAGATTGCTGGAAAATACCAAAAGCTGGTAGTCAAGGAAGGGTTCTCGTCTAGGACCATCAGAAAAAGCACAGTTCTGCTGACATTTTCATTTCAGGCTTATAGCCTTTAGAACTGGAAGACACTCGGGAGACACTCAATTTGTTATTTTAAGTCACACCATTTTGGAAATTTTGTTACCGAAGCCCTAATATAAAGTAGCATTCAATTTATATTTCTTACTTCCTCATTCCTAAAGGCCATCAATTCTGAGCTGCTCCTCAGTTGTCCTTACTGTACAGCTTTTCACTTGGAAAATTGTTCAAATGTAAAGGTTTATGTTGCATGGTAAGCACTGCAATCATGTTAAATCAATGTGGTTTTATATTATTACTGCACCTAAGGTCTTTGGGCTTCTCGTTTCCTTCCTTTTTTATACCCAAATGTGAATACTTCCTCTTCTGTTTGAGAATATCCCTCATATGTCACACCAAAACTTGTAAATGATAGATTACCCAAGGAGGATTACAAAAATTAAAGGGTTATTACTTTAAAAATATTAACTCCTCTTCAATATTAGAGCGGAAAGTATGTAAACTCCCAAAATGAATGCTACCAATATTTTATGAACTGTACTAGAAAAAGCAAATTGGACTGTATTCAACCCCTTGTTCATTTATTCATTCAGTCCATAGTGTTTGTAGGTTGTCATATTCCAGAAAGGATTCAAGGTATGTCAAGCTCATACATTAAGCCACATATTCAATATTTCTGAGGAGAGAAAAATGTGTCTTTTTTCGTTACTCTCATTGGCCACCTTGCTGTACCAAATACCACAGCTGTGCTCTTCTTGGGGGCCTTTGTGTTTGGAAAATGTACATTCCCTTCCCTGATATCTGAAGGGTTTACTTTCTTGCCTTTAGGTGTTTGTAAGACATTCCTTGACCACACAATTTAAAAAGTTCCATGCTTCCTCAACTCACATGATATTTTAATTATTTGCTCAGCCTCCTGTTGTACTTTCTTTATTCTGTAATATTTCCCTCCAGTTAACATGTTAAATATCCAGTTTTTTTTGAAAATTTGTGTTTAAATTCCAGAATGGCAAGAATTTTCCTCTGGTTTTTTCATTGCTCTTTTCCTCTGAAGCAATCAATCTGTCCAGTGCATAAATATTTGTCCAAGAAATGAATGAGCACGTATAATATATTCTATGTTATTGTGAAATGTCAAACTGTTATTTTAAGACTTACAATGGGATTAGGAAAGGAGTTTAGGGATTGACAGCATTTCATAAGAAGAATCTTCCGGAATAAATTCCTGCACAATGAGGCCATTATTTTCAGCATTTCTTTGTCAAAGTACACGGTGGGCATCCAGTCCTACCAGATGGAACACTTGGGTTAGGATGGGAGGGATAAGATAACAGGGCATCATGTGGCCAGCTCCATAGTACATTTAAGATTACATTCAAGTTAGCATTTCTAATTGTCGATAAATGTGTCTGCTCTTTGAATTGCCCCTGGAATAAGTTGTGATTTATTGCCAATTAATTTTCTTATGAATTGTTTAAACAAAATCTTTGACATGTGCTCATTTTATATCTTTATGATGAAGAGTTTATCTTCAAATATATAGAAATGAACATACAGTTCCTGTTAGAAACTATAGATTCAGTCATAAGCAACAAGTCTTTTTAATATTTTATTGATTCTATGTGTATCTGTTTCTCTTAATAAATATTCAGAGAATATATTCATGTATAAATCTATGCTCATAAAAATTATGCAAGACCTAATTTGAAAATAATAAGAAAATGGTGGAAAGGAAGTTGAACTGATGCAGTAGTAGAATATCAGAGGAAAGATTTAAAACTGGATGGGCCAGATTTAGGACTTTAGATGTGGTTCTGAGGGCTTTGCCCTCTACTGGAATTTGTGGGGCAGGATGACCACAAGGTCACTGCTTCAGAGCTCTTATCAATTCAAGGCTATCACAGATCCCTCCAGTGCTGTACTGTGTATTCTTCTTTCTGAGCAAGTCAGGCTCCATGGATTTGATAAGTCACTTAAAACTTAAAGGCTATTGCAAGTTATCACACTGGTAACAGAAGGCCTCTCAGGTATGTTTCCCTTCATGATTTTAATCCTTTGGTTGATAAACTACTATTAATTAGGATGTATTTGTCATGGGAGGAAAAAAAAGAGAGGATGTTGTGGGCCAGGGTTAAGATTCAGATGTCCAGAGTAAAGACTAGAATATTCTAGAGTTATTTCCTCAGCTTCCCAAGTAAAGAAACTTTCCTTTGATAAAAGGAAATAAAAATTAATATAATATTCTATGAAGGTTTATAATTTGATGGATCTTAATGTCTGAATATCTAGTTATGTGATGGTTAAAATAAGGTAACTTTCATAAGGCTCTTATCATACTAGTCAGTTCTTATTCAGATAGTATTTTATTATTCATATCCATTCCCCATACTCCTGACAGAATTCTGTTCAGAGTTTTTTCTCTAGTTGAATATGTTATATGTTACACAAGAAGAATGAAAACATAGTTTATATAGAAGGGGAAAGATTATGAAACACTTGCCATAAATTGATTTTATCTAGTTCCGCCATAAAATTCCTCCAGCCACAGGCAAGGTCCGAGGCTGATGTTTCTTTCTTTTTTTAAAATGAATTTTATTGGTACATTTTAGGTATGCAATAAAATGACATTCATCTTTGGAAATTTCTGCCTTTACATAATCTCTCTTGGTTCTTATTTTTGCCCCATTCCCCTGCCCTCCCTTCAACCACTCCATCCCTCCCTATTTACAAAGACTTTGCTTCCATTTTTTCATTTTCTCCATATTAATTCCATTCTCTTCTTTCCTTTCCCCTACCCCTCCCACTTCCCCTTCCCCTTTGCCCCTTTTCTTCCTATTTCACATTATCTATTATACCCTGTAGTCCTTATTTACACTTTCAGTTTCTCACTAGAGAAACTATTCAGTATTTATATGTGTGTCCTATTTATTTCACTTAAGAATATCGCCTCAATGTGCATCCATTTAGCTATAAATGTTTCTGATTTCTTGTTTTTTATGGCTGAGTAGTACTCCATTTTAAAAAAAACCCCACATTTTCTTTATCCAGTCTCCAGTTGATGGGCAATTGGGCTGCTTCCAAGTTTTAGCTATTACAAATTGTGCTGCTATGAACACGGGTGCACATATATCCCTGTGGTATGAGTCAATCACATAATCACATGGATTAAAGATCTAAATATTAAAATAGAAACACTGAACTGGCTGGAATAGAGGTTAGGTAGAACTCTTGAAGACATTGGGGCAGGAAAGGATTTTATGAATAAAACGTCAGTTGCCCTTGAACTAGCACAATCAACAAATGGATTTCTTCTTATTAAAAAGCTTCTGCACAGAGAGAGAAACCACCAATAATGTGAAGAGACAACCCACAATGTGGGAAAAAATTTTCACCTGATTTTCCTGACAAAGATCTACTATCTAGACTCTATAAAGAACTTAAAACAATCTGACCTCCCAAGTTTAAACACCCAATCCAAAAATGGGCATCTGAAATGAACAGACATTTCTCAGACAAAGAAGTAGAAATAGCAAATAAACATAAGAAAAAATGTTCAGCATCACTGGTCATTCGAAAGATGCAAATGAAAACAATGCTGAGATTCCACCTCACCCCAGAAAGAATGGCTGCTATCATGAAATCAACCAATAACAAATGCTGGCAGGGCTGTGGGGAAAGAGAAACCCTGCCCCTCTGCTGGTGGGAGTGTAGACTGGTGCAACCACTGTGGAAATCAGTATGGAGATACCTCAAAGAACTAGGACTGGAAGTCCCAAGGCTGGTGTTTCAATGTACCTTGTCCTTTAGGGGATGGATCTAAAGACGTGGTTTGCGTGAAATGAATGCATTTCAATCTCAATGAGCCTCTAAATTCAAGGCTTTGAAATATGTGCACTTCTCTTGAAACCATGATGGTGCAATGGATAATGTGCTGTTTGCTTAAAATCTTCTCTGTTTGAGTTTATTAGAGTTAATTTGAATGAAATCCAGATGGCAAATTCCACGTAGTATACAACCTCCAGTGACTTATGGACTTTAACCTCTTGAATATGCTAGGCCTACATAACAAGATGATATTCACAAGTAAAGACAAGGAAGGTACACAGTCCCTGGCATCTTACTGAAGTATTGAGGTTAAAGAATCTAGCAGGAAAAGCAGAATATGGGCCATGCTTATTCAAGTTGCCTCTTGCTCATAGAGCACCTTTCCCAATAGGCATAACCTAATAATGGGAGGTAAAATGAAACAAGTAGGCAGAAGCCTGGGTCATAGTGTCATTACTTAAATACATACTGCAGTCTTTAATTTCAACCCTGTATCTAACCCTACCATGTGAGCAATTTGGAAGGTAGTTCTATAGATTCTATTATAAATTTATCTAATAACAAGAGCAAATATTTACTTATGATTCTCATCTCTTCCCTCCTGTGGCTTTCTCAGTAATAATAACAAGTATTTATTTACTCCAATTCATAGCTGAAGTTATTGGTGCTTTGGAGCTTAAGGTAGCACAGTATTTAGGAAGCAACAGCATTGGAATTCAAACTCTGGCAATTACAGATTCCATAGCTTCATCACTATTCTTTAACTTCACTGATCTTTGAAAAAAATTAACATAGATATTGTAAAAAGAGCACAAATCAAAACATTAGAAACTGCTTATTTGGATAAATCATATACATTAAATGCAAGAGAAAAAAAATCATGGTCCTCTAAAATCTGTTTTCCCACTAATCTATTTAGAAGCTACAGTTCAATGAGAATTGTGCAGCAAGAAATTACCAAGTCTGCATATTTCAACAAGATTATTCCAGTAAGTGCTCAGAATTCTCACCAACAGAATCTAAATATAGCCTTTTTCTACTAACAGGTAGCTTACTGAATATATACTGAGAATAAGCTATTGTTCCAAGCACTTTACATGTGTTAACATATTAAGTTTATATATATTTTATATATATTCATAATATATTATGTATATTTATAAAATCCCTGTGAATTGGGGATTATTTTTATTTTTAAAAATTATTATTGTCATTATTTTTTGGTACCGGGGATTAAACTCAGGACCTTGTGCTTGCCAGGCAGGCGGTGGCACCACTGAGCTACATCCCTGGCCCTGGGCATTCTTATTATTCCCATTTTTACAGATGAAGAAGTTGAGGCACATAACTCATTAGGCATTTAAGAAAATAGCTTGAATCTGAGCATCATAGGCCAACTCTGGAGTCTCATTGCAGTCCATTTTAGGAATTTTGATACTATTTTACTAAACAAGTGCCATTAGTAATAGTGTTTTCACAGCTTAATTTGCATGCTCATTAATTACATCTGTCTGTATAGCTTTTCTCAGCATTGGCAGTGAAATTTCACATACCATATGGTTATTGATATAGCTTCCCTATAAGGAACACAGAGCTCTTTTGGGATACCCTGTTTCACAGATGAGCAAAACAGAAAGTTGGAGAGTCTAAGTTATTCCCTCAAGGTTACATAGTTTAAAAGGGTAGAAATGAGAATAGGAAACCAAAGCAAAATCCTCTTGCTCCTTGTTGATGGCTTCATATTATTTGAATCTGGTTAATGTCAAAATAGCAGTTATTTGAAGTTCATGTATGTCTGCTTTTTAGATCTAGCTATCAGCTGTCATATACTAAATTGGGGTACTGCTTTACTGACAGAAGATAGAGCAAGGAAACTCTATATGGAGCTGGTTTAAGGGACCCATTTAAAAATACCCTGAGTTTAAGTTAAGAACATACTCTGAGTGACTTACAGATGTAACAAGAAAAGGTGTATCTGTTTACTGGTTTAGTTTCTAGTTCTTTTCTAGCCACGAAAGTGTTTCCCAAATTCCATTCTCTTCCTTAGCCACCTTTGTGATTTTTGCCTAATCAATATATCACCTTTGATATGCAATCTAATATGCTTTCTTCAGTAAACTCCTTTTTTTAGTCTAAGCAATAAAATCTGAAAGTACATGTTTAATAACATGAGTTATATTTTTGCAAATATGCATTAAAATAAATGTGAAATGTTAACCTGAAGCCATGATTCAAGGAATAGGGAGAAGTGTGAAGTTAATCAGGTAAGAGAACTTGGCAGTGGAAAAATAAATCAACAAACTCAAGGTTCCTGGGATTATTATACTTTTACTTTATAATTGCCCAGATCATAACAATGCTTCCTCTTCTCTTGAAAAATTTTAATGAGACGGAAGGAAAGCTTTAGTTGTACACCACTTAATACAGAAATATGATGGACATTCATTATGTATGACAATCAGGAGCAGATAGTTCAAATGTGAAATACTCCAGCAATATAAAATTGAACCTTACCTGAAGGGCAGAAGAACTGAAGGTTTTGCCAATCCCTTTGTCTGGTGGTAGGGTGGACTGAGGGTATTGGGTGCTAAATTTTCAATGGTGCTGGGTTTCTTCACTGATATTTGAGAGCCATAGGTAACCCTCTGCAACATCACCCTCCCAAATTCCTTCTCATACTGAAGCTCAGCATGATTCTCACTTGAAATCTAGATACAGAAACTGGAACAGATACACAATAGGGGATTCCCAAAAGGTCACTTCTGAAACTGGCATTCTGTTTCCATCCAGATAACATAGTTACTGTTTCCCTAGCTTCATCATTTACATACATATATACTATCTATGTGTTTGTATGTATCTATTGTGTAATTTTCAAAGACTGAAACATCATTATTTGGTTTAATATAATCACTTTAATAAGCAGTCATTGTTATTGTCATTTTCATTTTGGCAATGGAAAAGTGGGCTTTTAAAAGTAATTTTGTTACTTGCTTTTAGATAAAAAAAATTGTGGTTTGAACTCAGATCTCTCAGATAGATTTAAAGATGTCTACATAACATTTTCTACTGCTGTTTTGGCAAAGGGAAACAGCTTAGTGCTACAGCCAAGTACTACTGCTCAGTGTCACAACCAAGTGCCACACCTCTGAGGCACAGCTGAGTGTTACAGCTGAGTGTTACAGCTCTGGGTCCCAGCTAT